AGAGAGAGAGAGAGAGAGAGAGAGAGAGAGAGAGAGAGAGAGAGAGAGAGAGAGAGAGAGGATCACGAGCGTGCGTGCAGGACTTTGGGGTTTTGTGCATGCACAAGACAGACGCGCCAGCTTTATGCGCGCTTGCACAACAAGCCCCCCCCCAAGCACCCACCCCCCAACCGTAACTAACTTACGGAGAGAGAACGAGACAGCATATCTGATTTTTGTGTCATCCTTGAGCAGGCTCCTTTCCAGGAAAAGAAAAGTAGTGCACGCACTCTGCTCCTCAAGACTACACACATGCACACACACACACACACACACACACACACACACACACACACAACATCGTATATATGTTCGTTCTTCTTTTCCTGTTAGATTGTATGTCTGTCTTCGTGTCTTTTCTGAGTACTTTCTGTGTCTAGGCAAGCGCCTCTAAGAAGTGCTAAACAGTCGGTGGTTCGTTGTTTGGAGTGCCTGTGTCACTACTACCGTTTTCCCCCGAACACAACGCACCCTTATTTTGGCTGTATCTGGCTGGAAAATATAGCTTGTATACATTCACTTTTAGGGTGCGTTATGTTCGGGGGAAGACGGTAGGTGGGCGCTCAGTTCGGGACGTCTGTGGTTGTACATAATGATGGATGCCTTTGATCCTTGCTGGGTGTGTGTGGAAAGTGATGGATGGCTTTGGTCCTTGTTGGGTGTGTGGATTGCCTTGTATGCGCGCGTCTGCCGCCTTGCTGCCCACCCGCTTGGCGTTTCCTTCCCCGCAGTTTGTCTGTTTGCCGTTATCAGTGTCCAGTCGTGCCTCGCTGCTGCACAGTTGCCATGCTGCCCATGTAGTTTGGCTGCTTTGTCAAAAACACTGCCTTGTGCGTTGCTGTTTTGTGCCTTGTCTTTCTGTGTGCTTTGCTTGCGTGCTGTGTAGTTTCGATGCTTCTGTCTGTCGGCGCTACCTTGTGCTTCACTTTGTTGTGGCTTGTCTTTCTGTGTACTTCGCTTGCGTACTGTGTAGTTTCGCTGCTTTGTCGGCGCTGCCTTGTGCTTCGCTGTGTTGTTGCCCTGCTGCATGTCTGCTTGTGCCGTCGTTCCATGCAGTTCCCTTTGGCACTCTGCAGATGGGCAACCCCGTTAGTGTTGCCTGGGGCTTTGCTGAGTCATTGCCTTGCTGGTTGTGGTGGTGCCTTCGGGCTGCTCACTTCTGATCGGGGATAAAAGAATCGGTGACTCAAAGCATCAATATGGCGATTCTGCAGATTGTCAAAGGTACAGAGGCTCCTGATGAGTCGGTGCAAGTCTGATCATATGGCGAACAATCCGAGATCATGTCTGCTGGTGCCACAGATGATCGAGGTCTGTCCAGTCTTGTGTCAAATGAGACCAGCCCCAGGATCACAGGTTCCTTACTGGTTTGGTTTCCATAGGACGCCGCATTGAATTGTCCCGAGCATTGTTGTAGGTATTCACTTCAGTTTCTGCTTTCTTAGATTTTTGTAAAGACGTGTACATATCGTCTCCGGTGAACCGTCACACACATCTTGACCATTCGAATTGGAGAGAATGCACAGGAATCAGATGAATGTATTCCAAGGTGTCTTCCACGTACGTCCACCGCGGACTGCACCAGCAATCCAAAGACAAGAGGACGTAATCATGCATAATAAATGCAGCAACGGCAGACTCTGAGAGAGAGAGAGAGAGAGAGAGAGAGAGAGAGAGAGAGAGAGAGAGAGAGAGAGAGAGAGAGAGAGAGAGAGAGAGAG